CAACCGACCAGACACAGCCGCACTTCTCAACCTGCCAATTGTCAAGCTTATGCGCAAAGAGCAGGAAGTCGTTAAGCTGGGGCAAGATCTCCGTGAGCAGCGTATGCTGACAGCGAAGCGGGAGAAGGAGGCAAGCGAAGCCATTTCACGGATACGCAAAGAGTTGGACGACCAATTACGAAGAGAGTGGGAAGTCAAAGCACAGTTGGAGATTGAGCGACAAGTGAAGCTGCAAACGGAACAACGAGTACAGAAAGAGCTGGCTCAGCTCCAGGCGACCTTCGAGGGAGAAGTGAACAGGCGGGTAGAACGCGCCCTGAAGATGTACCCCAACCGTCTGAGCACATCGCCAAAGCTGGCTCCTCGGTCCAATACGCCTACTATGGCGGCAACAGAACCAACATCTGCTTTGTTCTCGGCAGAGTCCGATGGTGCCGTTAAGAGCGGCTCGCAAAACACCCTCAACACAGACTCCGACTTCGCCAGCGGAACAGACCTATCGTCACTCTCCCTGGACGACCACACCGAAGATGTCACCATCGCAGCTAAGCCAAAGGCAAAGCGACCGTCCCGCGGTCCCCTCGTCCGCGCCCGCACAATGTTCTCTCAACCCTCCACCACACAAGTACCCGACTCTCCCATGGATGTGCAGATGGCTGAGCCGTCGCCGGCACCTATCTCACTCAAGGGACTCTCGCTTTCCCCTCGTCGCAACCAGCAACCTAAGCAAAACATCTTCGCTGCTGCTAAGGAAGGCGCGAAGAAGTGGGAAGCTGACGTTCCCCCGTCGCCAACTGAGGCAGAGTGGAACGCCGACTTCGACGACGATGATGATCTTCCTGTTCTGCCATCGCCAACCCGCGCACGAAGCGCCTCTGGGGGTCGTCCTATGAGTGCGGACCCCTTCAAGGTGCTCGCAAATGCCCAAGCGCCGCTGTTGAAGGCCAACGGTCGATTGGGAAGCACACCAAACCTCCTGGGTCCCAGAACCACGAAGCCCCGTCCTGTTTCCGCCGTACCCATCGTCGCTGCGTCGCCTTCTCGAACGAAGTCCAAGTCCACCGACACTGCATCAACATCACCACGCAAGACAGGCACTACCACAAAGTCCATTCCATTTGCTGGACTCCCATCAAAGAAGGGCAACGAGGCATTCCGCGTCCAAGCGATGCGCAACAACGGCGGTGTTCAGGGCCGCACACTAGTCGAACTTCAACAAGCGCGCGGTATCCCTGTGCACACTATGAGTGAAGATGAGGGAGGCGCGAAGAAGGGCTTCGGATACAACGGCCGAAGGAGTCCCGTCAAGCGAACTGGCGGTATCAGCCCACCCGCAGTATGGGACCCCGAAACCGAGCCGGAGATGCCATCTCCTTTCATCCAACGCAGCAAGCGCATGGTCCGGTAGGACGGACGATGCGTGACAGCTCCGGAACGATTACGACATATACAACAACGACACGACGAAGGGTAAATAATGGGGTGTTTGGACATACAACATTCCACGGCGTTGGCGTGACGACAGTACGGAGGGCAAATACCATTTCCTTTGTCTCATCAAATGGAGTGGTGTCTGGCGTTGAGGATTGTGGATTGAAAGCGAGCGTATGCGTCGCGTCCCATCTACCATCTCTTCCCTTTGTCATCCTCATTGCATCTGCGCTTTGTTTTACGCACATTTTCCACGAACGCATACTAGCATCTTTTTGGCGATATTGTGGGTTGGGTCTGGATAGGCGTTTGAGGCGTTGCACCGTGATGAGACGGGCTGCATCTGTACTCTTATTTATTGCGACGAACGTTACTACTACCATACTTCACATTATGCACTTTTGGATGACGTGGTGTGATTAAGAATGTATTGGAGTGAAGAAGATATTACCATCCAAAGCTCTCTGTATGTAGGTATATGCCCTGCGCTCCCGTTCCTTTGTGCACCGCCCGCTCATCGCTCAACGAGACAACATCATGCTTCACATCTGCCACTAACCCCTGTGGTCCACACACCACCACCGCACTTTCTCCTAGTGCTTGCTCCAACGACCTGCGTATAATATCCCGCGTCTTCGGTCGACCGGAGTATATCGCTATCGACGGATGCACGACGACTCTTTGGCCCTTCTCGAGAGAAGATGGTGTAGAAGGTGCGAGGGACCCAGGACGAGATGGGGTAGCTGTAGGTTTCGAACAGCTGCACACCGCTTTACTAGCTGAGGATGATTCGTCCACTGCAGTGCGGCAACAGCATGTGCCGTTCGGACCACAGGATGCTTCCTGGATATCGAGACTTGATGAATCGATAGATGTCACTTCTTGGTATCCTTGTCTATGCGATTTCTTCTCGCTCTTCTTTTCTGATATCTGTGAGGGCGATCTGTATTGCACAGTACCGTGCTGAGGCTCGCTCTGTGATTTTGTGTTCACGTTGGGTGCCGTCACGCCGGAAAGCACGGAGTTGTGCTCTTCCGTGAAGGATTCGTCGCAGGTGATGTAGACGCTCATTTCGAGTTTGATGTCCCGGAGTGTTTCCTGTAGCGTTCGGAACTCGGTGTACACGGAGGACAGTTGCTCGGAGAACCAACTTAGCTGCCCTCTACTCTTGACGACCCATACGAAGCGGATGTGTCGTGTGACCGCACCTGTTGGTGTTTTGAAAATCGAGGTACTACCTGTGTTGCCACAAGCATTCTCCTTCCAACCTTGGAGGAGATCGCGAAGGAGTGGGAGAGTGAAAGTGCCGCCAGTACTTCCTGCAAGGAGAACGACGCTATCGAATTGGCGCAGTGGTCGTAGCGTGCCGTATGGGCCTTCTATGGCCACAGTCCTGGCTTTGACAGGCATTCCAGATAGACTACCGGTTTTCTCCGCGTGTTTGAAGAGACGCTTGGTACCTCCCTTCTCGGCCTTGACGTAAAACTCCATCTTTCCATCTGCTGGTATCGAGGCCACGGTGAATGGATGGCTTTGTAACGGCACAACGGAGTGACATGATAGATATACATGTTGACCAGGAGTCCAGCTGATGGGTGGGTTGGGTATCGTGATTCGAGTGGTGTTGTGGGGGAGAGGTGTGAACTCGGCTTTGCACGCCCAGAGGCCACTCAGTTGGCCCCGCTTCTTCAATGCAGGATGAAATACGGAGGTGTTGATGTATAGCAGTCGCAATGCTCGGAAGAGGCGGTCGAACAGGAAAATGGCAACAGGAGCCCAGACATAGCCGTTCATCTCGAGAGGGGTATGAATGTAGACGAACGCAAGGAAGACTGCAAACGAAACGATGTGTTGAATAACGAATACCTCGTAATTCCAGCCTCGGATCGGTGTCATGGAACTGAACACAATCCACGCCAGGGTACACCATGCAGCAAGGCCTTTCCAAACAATCGCGTTATTCTTGAGTTGGTAGCCGATGTAGTCGTATGGAGCCCATGCACTGAGGAAATACCCCAGGTGCATGGTGGCCGTAAGGAGCATGCATCGAGCGCACCAACGGTGTAACCAATTCAAACGCTCGTAACTCACACCACTAAGACATCCGATGATGTTATTCTTGCCCGCTAGCAGGACGATAATCGGTAGTTGGGCGATCGTGACCACACCGCAACGAAAGCCTATATTTTCCATGCTGAACATGTCCGTCACATCGAAGCCATATAAACATAGGACGACCAGCACGACTACGTTTCCGATAACCAGCGACGATCGGCCGACTGTTGGTATTCTGAGTATGCGACCTTTCAGTGGTATGCGTAACGAGAAATTGGACGCTTCGCGCGTCAGGGCGTAGAGTGTCGCATTTCCGAGGGCGAACCATGAGATGGGCTTTGCAGGCGTCCGCGATCCCCCTCTTGCTGCGAGCATTCTTTGGCGGTATAGCACATAATTGTACACATTGAACAGTGTTGCGACGCCGACTGCGGCCCCAATCACGGCGTAGTAGAAGTCTGGCCATTCTGTGAGCGCGGGCAGGGCGCTCATGGAGCCCATCGACATGTGATTGTGGCTCATGATGCTACGCGCTGCTGCAGTGTTGCCGAATCTTGTTTGGTCTATGTTTCCAGGCTTGCACTGGATGCAAGGTTGGGCGGTTGCCAGTGATGGATGGCGTGTGCCTGTACCGATGTTTATCGCATGCTGACTTCGTCGCGAGCAGTCTGAGATGTAACCAGGGTCGTTGTTTCGTTGGTACGTCGAAGGATCGGAATGGAGACGCAATCTAGGACGTTGGGAATAGACAGTGTGTGACAGTGTCGTAGGAGGTTGACGAAATGTGATAGTCGTCCAGCGAAAGAAGCACACACGCAGCGTCTCCAGCCATGGTGCCGGTAATAGTCCATGTGGCCGTAGTGCCGACTGTAATCAATTGCCTCTCAGATGCAGGGCGGCAGGGTCGATGCACTGCGGGGGTGCATCGAGGCCCAGCGGGCACTCTGTTGGCCGTGGCTTGAAATAAGCTTCATGCGCTAACCATAACCGGCTAATTATGCTCAAAGTCGCTCCTTGGGAGTCCGGCTGCTTGAACGTCGCTCACACGCCCGAGCCACCGACAGCGTGCCATGACCCATACAACGCGCATGGAAGGGATCTTTCCGTAGCTCCCAGATTTGCCTGTCATACATGTAGGCGGGAAGGCGTTGCCGAGAAATGTGCTCACATGCCCCGACGCTCCACGCCTCAGCCCAGACTTGACCATTTCTTGAGTGTCTCAGAATCTTACGCATTCACCAAAGTTCTATACACTGCAACACGAAACCAGCGCCTCCAGGTCGTGGGTTCATGCTGAGGCGCCTTCATCTTTACGGAACTGGAACCAGCGAACGCGCAAGCCCACATCGTACCGAGAAGTCTTAAGCGATCGCCTGCCCCAGGACTAAGATAGCAGTCTGGAACTCGGTACCTATTCTTCGATCCCTTATCACCCCGCGCGACCTAAACGGAACCCATCCTGATCCTCATCAACGGAACCTTCTTATCGCTACACGCACGTCGAACCCATCACCATGGTTGCTCACGAGGGTCACGATATGGCTATGGATTCGATGGATATGGGCGGCATGTCCATGGGTACTTCCTCACATGGCGGTATGGCAATGGCGTTCATCACGTCAACGACCACTCCTTTGTTCTCCGAGGCTTGGACCCCGACGACCGCTGGTCAATACGCAGGGACATGCATCTTCCTTATCATCCTGTCCATACTCCTTCGCGCCCTCTTCACCGCAAAGACATACCTCGAGATCAAGGCAGTCAAGAGCGCGCTGAAGCGACGCTATATCGTCGTTGCCGGCGAGAAAGCGGTTGTCGATAGCGCTTCAGACGACGCCAACTCGATGACCGGTGTCCTCACAACAAACGGTGTCCAGGAGGATGTGCGCATCATTTCGGCGCCGGTCTCTCACATTCAGCCATGGAGATTCAGCATCGACCTGCCCCGGGCACTGTTGATGACAGTTGTGGCCGGCGTCGGATATCTCCTGTAAGCACTACACGTTCCAGTCATTGCGTCAAAGCTAACTTTTGGGCAGCATGTTGGCAGTCATGACTTACAATGTTGGATACTTTCTGTCTGTGCTAGCAGGTGCATTCGTCGGTGAGCTGGCGTTTGGCAGGTTCAATCAGGTTGCGGCGCACTGAGTCTTAGATTTGCATTCTGTTATTTATATCCAAAGAAAGCTTTTCCAGAGCGTAATATTCATCTTGATACCTCAGACACCTATTCTTAAGAAGGTTCCTCAACACTGCGTGCTCGTCCAGTCGCTAGGGGCTTCCTCGCATACCCCCGTGGGGTGCACAAAGCTTATTTCCAGCAACACAAATGCGATTCATGAACGTGGTATTTCCATAATCTTGATCTCCATTCCCGGCTATACAGTAGAACCATAATCTAGGCCTCGGCGCGTCACCGGAAATGCCATCGGTGAAATGTAACCTTGTTGGACGCTAGTCGCTTCCGCGGTGAGGAACCACCGCTTTGGTAATAAACTTGCTCAATTGTCGGCATCCTGCACGCCACACGATGCCATACCCTAACGGCTTGCACATTAGCGACAGTCGCCGCTGATGCAGGATACTGCTCACTTACTGCTATCTGCTTAGATCGTCGACCTATTCGAAACGCGGGATCAATGCAGGTCGCTTCCAGTGCTCACGGGCGAGCCACGCGATTTACTGGAACGGAATGCACGGCATGGAATGGGTCGCGTCCCAGAGTAAGCTGTAATAAATACGGCAGGTGATCCCGGCGTTTCCTTATTGTTTGTTGTTATCCTCTTAACCTTCTCGCATTCCTCTGCATCAAGTCGATAGCGTTGTTCTTTCTCTTTCCTACACGGCATCAAGACCTACGTTTACCTCTCAATCGTCAATATGCTTACCAACGGCGCTCTTGCGCTCGCCTTCCTTCCTCTTACACTCGCCCATTTCCAGCTCAATTTCCCTGAAGCGCGTGGATTCACCGATGACACTGAGGGCAACTTCCCTTGTGGAGGCTACAACGATGTCCAGCAAGAGCGCACCGATTTCCCAATCAGCGGAGGGCCGATACAACTGCACATGGAGCACCCGCAGACCAACGTTGCTGTGTACATGGCCATTGGCGATAACCCGGGAGATGGATTCAGCATCGTCGCGCAACAGCAGACCCAAGTATCAGGTCTAGGAGACTTCTGCTTCGGCCACGTCTCCCTACCGGAAGGATTGAATGTGACGGATGGTACCAAGGCTTCGATACAAGTTGTTACCAACAACCACGAGGCGGGTGGACTATACCAGGTAAGCCTTTGACACGGGATGGCTCATCATCGCAAGAAAGTCGCTAACGACCACATAGTGTGCGGACGTGACACTGGTCAACAACGCCCAGATCAACTTCGCCGACAACTGCAAGAACCAGACAGGCATGAAGGTAACTCAGGAAGACATTCCAGGAAACCCCAATGGAACGGAGACGGAGACAAGCCCAAGCTCGGCCGCCAGCGGAAGTGCTGCATCAGCGACGCCGACAGGTGCAGCAGTGCAAGCGAAGGCTTTCTCGTGGGCATTGGGTGCTGTTGGCGTGGCTGGAATCGCACTACTCTAAGTAGATCTGGGCATTTTGAAGTAGAGCATTAATACCACTATTCGCGATCAAGCTCAGTGGGACGTGAAGCATTTTTCACTGGTGTAAAGTCGATGGACCGCCATTCCGCATGTTGGCCTTGGTGTGCACCGCGGCTCCGTCTGGGCATCTGCATCTGCATGTGAATCCAATTGAAACAATTGCTAACGCGTCATATTGAGTGTCTCGAGGTGAATGAGATGGTTGTGCAATGGCTAGGACCCCTCTGACGTTGCGGGGATCTGAAGCTTCCACAAGCGAGGACATGCACACAATCGGCGCTTCCGGTGAGTTTCGCCGATGGCCGCAACAACTTCACCAGCAACATCACACTCCAAGTCTCGGCCACGATCCCGAATTTAGGTGCGTACCGGCCCCGCGCTCCCTCTGAGCCCAAGCCCTCACCCCAATCTGCGCAGAATCCGGACCCGACCGCTGACACTCCACGCCTACAGCTCTCCCCACGTAGTTATCCTTCCTCAACACCGCAAATATGGATCAAGCAAAGTTGGCGCGCATGCAAGCGTCGGTGCGCATTGGTACGTACTCCAATTCTGAGCTGCAATTGCTTTATAGAGCAGTCAGCTATGCTATTCGAGGGAGTAGTTGCTAACTCGTGTGTGTACAGGGTAAGCAAGCCTCTCCTGCTGTATTTTGACAGCCCCGCACCGCAAAATATCACGAACCCGCGAAATCCCACCACGACCGCCCATTGGTAGCGAGCGATACTCAGGAATCAGATGGCTATGAGGCATACGAGGCTAATTCGATATATAGCGGCAAGGGTACTCCCCGCAGGAAGGTCAAGAAGGTCCACAGGGCCGCTGGCACCGACGACAAGAAGCTCCAGACCGCGCTGAAGAAGCTCAACGTCCAGCCTATCCAGGCCATTGAGGAGGTCAACATGTTCAAGAGCGACGGAAACGTCATCCACTTCTCCGCACCAAAGGGTACGTCATCCCAAGCGTTGTGACATGTGGATAGAGAAGAGTGCCCTGGTACATCACAGACATGGCACTTCATGATCCACACTCATGCCACCCTACCTTTTTGTCGGAGTGCATACTAACGCAAGCATCTTATAGTTCACGCGTCAGTACCTGCCAACACCTTCGCCATCTACGGACACGGCGAGGACAAGGAGCTGACAGAGCTCGTCCCCGGCATCCTCAACCAGCTCGGCCCCGACTCGCTCGCATCGCTACGCAAACTCGCCGAATCTTACCAGAGCATGCAGAAGGAGAAGGGCGAGGACGGTGACAAGAAGGAGGACGACGACGAGGAGGACGATGATGACATCCCCGACCTCGTCGCTGGCGACAACTTCGAGTCCAAGACTGAGGTCGAGTAAGAAGTTACGCAAAAGTAGCTTAAGAAAGGGTCGCAAGAGCCAGAGAGGAGATTATGTGCAATGACGGCCTACCGCATGTATATTGATATGGAGGACTTCATGAACGCAATGACCGTGACGGTCAGCAATCGCGGTGGGTCTTGCAGGCAAAATACCGGACTGGCGTTATGTCTCAGGAAAGATATGAATGAAAATCTTCTAGCACACTCTCCACGACCATTGCGCCCAGATGGAAAACTAGAGCATACCTATATTCCACTTTGCGAAGCCTTGAAGCCCGCGTCTGTTGGTTAGACGCTGCGGATGAAATTTCCCAAGATGCTGCGGAGAACCCGGAATGCCAAAAACCTCGGGAGTACGTCACACTAGATGCCCCAGCTGCAGAACTCGCACTTCGCGATGCTCTTGTCAGGAGGACGGAACGTCTCCGCGTTGTTCATGGTTCCCAAGCATGTAAGCACCGCTCTGCACAGCTATGTATTGTCAGCGACGGATCGGCAGCAAGGGATTCCGGGATTAAGCGTGAAGTGGCTAGCACCCGCTCCTTAGCTTCCTTTTCCCAAGCCTCCAATATCTAACAATGCGTATGAACAGCCTGTCTACGAACGCGATTCATAAGCGTGAGCATAAGCAACGCCCGAAGCCGGCTAAAATCCAGATAACGGAATCGTGAAAACCATATATCAAGCTAACGACGCGCTTAGCCCATTGAAACGTCGCACCCTCGATTCAGCATCGACTTAACGATTCGGCGGCTCCCCACCTGCGGTGTCCCTGAGGCTTGAAGCGCGCCTAAAGTTTAATAGCGACGCGTCTCCTGAACTTTTTCTTTTGCGGCGTGTTTGTATCTATCTCTTCGTCTTCTTTTCATTGCGATACCCAATCCAAGCGCATCTTCTAATTATCGTTCACCATGAGTACCGAAACTATCCTGATCCTCGGAGGATCCTTTGCAGGCATCAGCGCTGCCCACTACGCCCTCAAGCATGTTATCCCACAGTTACCCAAGAAGGATGGAGTTACATACAATGTCACGCTCGTCAACCCCTCCAAAGACCTCTGGTGGCGCATCGCAGCACCTCGAGAAAGTGTCTCCAAACAGATGATGCCTTCGGAGAAGACCTTCTACCCCATCGAGCCTGCGTTCACTTATGCGTTCCCCAAGTTCAAGTTTATCCAAGGAACTGCGACAAATGTCGACCCCACCGGCCAAACAGTCTGCGTCGAAACCGCATCTGGCGAGCAGCAAAACGTCGAATACGCTGCGCTTGTCATCGCGACTGGTTTCACCACACCAAGCCCGCTCTTCACACAGGCAACCGACCGCGAAGCACTCGAGAAGGTTCATACCGCATTTCAGGAGGGCCTGAAGAGCGCAAAGACGGTAGTCATCGGTGGAGGCGGCCCAGTAGGTGTCGAGACCGCTGGAGAGGTTGCAGAGATTCTGAACGGCAGACCGGGTTTCATGGCATCCGCGCCCAAGAACCCAAAGGCAAAAGTCACGCTCATCTGCGGAGACAAGAAACTCTTGCCTCTGCTACGTCCAGCCATTGGTCAAACTGCTGAGCAATTCCTAAAGCGTCTCGGATGCGATGTTACCTACAACACGAGGGTTGTTGGATCCACCAAAGCGGGCGAAGAAGAAGGCGCAAAGACGAGGGTGGAACTCAGCAATGGCGAAACAGTCGAAGCGGATATCTACATCGATGCGACAGGCTCTCGGCCGAACACTGGCTTCCTTCCGAAGGAGTGGCTCGATACCCGCAACCGCGTCGCATGCAACGACAAGACCCTCCGCGTCGAACACGAATCCGCCGGTCCCCGCGTCTACGTCGTCGGCGATGCAGGCTCTTATACTCGTGGAGGCGTCATGGACATGTACGACGCTGTACCTGCGGCTATGACAAACCTCAAGAACGACCTGCTTGCCCACCTGACTGGTGAGCCACACAAGGGCGATCGCCACTATACGGCGAACCTGAAGGAGCAGCAGATTTGCCCCATCGGCACCCAGAAGGGTGTTGGTGCGTTCAATGGCTTCAGGGTGCCTAGTCAGATGGTATGGATGATCAAGGGAAGGGACTACATGATCAGCCAGCTTGCTGAGGGCACATTGAGGGGCGACCAGTTCAAGAAGGAGGGCAAGTGGACGCCTGTTCAACAGGCTGGTAAGGCTGGACTCAGTTCAGGATAGGCTCGAAACTCGACGAAGCTACGATTGCGAGCAGACTTTACAACTTGACGGAGAGCATCGGATATACCTGTAATGTTTTGTTTGTCGCGTCGCGTTCATAGCGCATCGGAATACCCTTGAGGCATAGCATGGAGGTTACGTAGTTTTAATGTTATGTGAAGTCGGCTTGCTTGCTCTTCTTACAGCTAACACATCTGACTTGCTACGTGACGATGGGGTTGTGATCTCCATGCCCCACCCATTTAAGCTTAACCTTAGCGCGTCATAGCTCTGAGCTCCAAAATTTCCCAGCGGCAACGTAGATGCTAACAACTCGCGCCTCGAACATCGCACCCGATTCAAGCGCGTATCAATTTCCAGTACAGTCGCAATGGCAGCCGCAACCCAGCCCTCCCCAGCGCTCACATTCCCTCGCCCGATCTTCGCTGCCGTCTCCCCGCACCCGTTCCTGCAGGCGCATCTTTCCGCAGAGAAGAAGAAGCCCATCCGCGCAAATGGCCGTGCTGCAAACGAGTTCCGCAAGCCAGGCATCAACACTGGAAGTCTCACCCACTGCAATGGCAGTGCAGTCGTGCGACTGGGCAACACAAGCGTCGTCTGCGGCGTGCGCGCAGAGATCTTGAAAGAGGAAGACATCCCGGGTACCTTTGAGTATCCCGGACAGACTGCCGGGCAGGATTCGGAAGACGAGGAAGACAACGGCGAAGAAGTAGAAGAGTTGAGGTTACTGGTCCCGAACGTGGAACTATCTACAGGCAGCACACCCTCGCACATCCCCGGCAACGCGCCGTCCACGTACGCGCAAACGCTCATAACCCGCATACGTTCTCTCCTCAACTCGACACGACTTCTCCGCGCTTCAGATCTCCGCATACTATACAAGCCATCCACGAACCCCGAAGACCCAGACACAGAAGCGGAGACACAACTGAAAGGGTACTGGGTTCTCTACCTCGACGTGTTCTTCATCAGCATCGATGGCAACGCATTCGACGCGGCGTGGATATCCATACTCGCTGCGCTTCGCGACACACTCCTACCACGCGCATACTACGACGAGGAATACGAGGGAATCCTATGCTCAGACGAACCCAAGGAGGCGCATCGCCTTCAATCACGCGGTCTACCGATACCTAGCACGTTTGCAGTGTTCGAGGGCAGGAGAGAAGAGGAAGATGAAGAAGTAGACTTTGTGCTCAGCGATCCTGATGCGTTTGAGGAGGGCGTGTGTAGAGAGACTGTTAGTGTGATGGTGGACTGTGCAGGCGGAAAGGAGGGCACGAAGGACTTGGTCATCAGGAGGGTAGAGAAGAGCGGTGGGGGCGTTGTCGGAAGGGAAATGATGGCAGGATTGATCAAGAGAAGTATTGACCGGTGGGGCGCTGTTGAGAGTGTGCTGAGTGGGAAGGCTTGAGTGACTGGTACGCATGCGACACGCACCAAAAGTTGCGGCGAACTCAGCAGTCTTCATCCGCCATCGATGCAGTATTGGAACGGCACGCATGAAGTTCATCTCGGTACCTGACTGAAGGAATAGCAGAGTGAACGTTGGCATGTCCAAGGGACATTGTTGCAGGTCGGACACCTCTTCAACCTACTTAGTCAAGGTGGCAGCGATCGTCCAAAGCGAAAGACGACCTTGTTTTCGAACGTTTGGGGATCAGCCACTTCGCGAATGTAGAGCAAAAGCATACGCAGACATGATCGAACAAGCACGTTGCTAGTATGGGTACGCCAGCCTGCTCGGGTAGTTACGAGGCGCGTACGTCACGCAAAGACCTCCTCGTCGCTCCAGAATCTTAACTTCTGCCTTCTATGATCCTCCTAGCTTTTCATTCTGCACAAACGACTCTCTCAACCGCTCGACACTTCTTGACGCGACTCGTCGCTTCTCACCTAACCCAACGCACAAGATTGCGTAACCTGTCAGAACCAACGAATGAAAACGTCTTCCTGGGGGATCAAACACTCCGCTGTTCCGCTAGAACCTTGTTTCGTTTGTCCGCGGCACGCTGCCGCTCTGGTATACCGGTCGCTACGTTCCGTGGAGGCTCAATAACCGTAGTACGCCTACACGCCTGTATACTAACACAAGCGCGCGACGTACGCAGCGCCTAGAAGGAGGCTCTAGAGTATGTTGAAGCCTACGTAATCCACAGACCTTTGTTACGCGCCCGCTGTATCCCGGCTTCATCCATGAAGTTGTACAAGGAAGATCTGCGCGCATACAGCCACTCCTTCTAGTCGGAGTAGATGCAGACACTACGATATCTCCACTTATGCAAATCGTGACGAAGTTTATATTTCTCAACTCCACAACTGAGCAGTAACCTGCAGTATGTCATTCAAGTGTGGTCTAGACCACACGTTCTCTCGCACAAGTCCTGTGCGTTTCATGAAGAGTGGGGATGGCAATCTCTTTATCGATACGAGCCGCTGTGCCACGAGCTGTCGTTGAGACGTCAGGTACCAAACTAAGCAGTGCAGCTACACTCCGGCTACTGTCAACTTGTTGAATGGCGGCCGCCCGTCTACCGGTCGGAGACTTCTGCCAGGTACGCTGCAGGAACGCGTATGCTGTAGAATTAGCCTTGGAACAGGACTTTTGCCTGCTAAACTTGACTTGGAGGTCATCATAAAATTGTGATTCGACGCCACGCACATGTCGTGTTCGGGGACAGAGCGTCAGCTCGGACTGTGGCATGCTGCAGCGTGATGACCCGTGGACGAGTTTAGAAAGATCACGTGGGATTCTTTATCGATTCTGTTTCTAGATACAGGACATGACAGCTCGTCAAGATTACCG